GAATACATGATCTGCAATGGAAAAAAAAGGCAGGCAGGTTGTTTAAGGCAGTCAGGGTTGAATCAGAACTTAATTAGATTTTGCTACATACATGTTTTGTGTAATATGTTGTTTTCAAGGTGTTGGTCTTCAGTTAATCTTTCAACTGACATCACTAAAGCAAGAGAGCAGTGCTGGCAGTGAGTGATACCAACTGACCTGACGTGCTATGGCCAGAGTTGAAGACGGAACAGAGTTATGGATCCAAACAACCAGGTTGTTTAATATTTGAAATTCAACTTTGAATACAACAAGAAATTGTGATTGAAATAGACCCATCTTGAGAAGAAGGGCCTTAGAGTTCTTGGAATAATTTATTGCAAATACTATTACTTAGCATAAATATAAGCATTTTAGGAATTCAATAGTGATTTATTTGTATTTACCATAAACATCTTTAATTAACTCAACTCTCTTAAATATTTTTTAAAAACAGTAATTATACACTTAAAACCAGAACTCCTTACTGAAACGAAACAAAAATTAATTTAACTGGGTTTTAATCTTCTTAATAACTGGAACAGATAATATATACTTCTAGTTCCATGAATGGTGGAAACTACTGCTGGTTTAATTTTTTTTTTATTTAAATGATTTAGATTATACATGAAAGATTTTGCCACCAGTTTCAGGGAAACCAATATATTTTGATTATCACAGTTCGTAGCTCTAAACACATAAACTACAATTAAAAGGTTCAAATCACAAAAAATAAAACTATGTTAAAGAACACATTGCTGAAATCACTCTTTAAAAATTAAATTTTTATTCCAATTTATATTAGGAATCATGAAGAAAACATCCTGCTCCCAGATGGAAAAACTTGGCAAAACAGGAATAATAATAGTGAAAAAAAGAGCTGTAATAACAATTTGTGCAATGAAGGGAACAAATTGTACCTAAACTATAAAATAATAGACTTCAACCCAGTGAGCACTTAGTATATGTTTAATTGTAAACGGGTGAGCACTTCATCTCCCTTTAATGAGACAACTGAGAAGTGAAATGCACTTATGGGGCTGAGGCCTAACATAGGCATTATTGACTAGAGTATTAATTATGAAAGCAGTAAAAAAGCAATGGTGGTATGTACATGTTAAAGACGTGTGTTTGTGCTAGTGTGTTTGACAGATTTGCTTCTTCCCTATGAACTGTGTAAATGATTCATCCTGTCACCAGGGAGATGGACTACAGGTGGGTTTCATAACCCATCTGGCTTTCTTAACTTTAGCTATTTAAGCTATTCAGCTAATCTGCCTCTGTAGCTAAGGGGGAAGGGAGATGTTTTTGTTTTACCTTTTTTCATCCTTTGGAGGTACTGATTTCTCTCTTTTGACTATAAAAGGAGCCAAGGTGACTCAAATTAAACTAGGTATGTTTAGCTGGATATAGTCAGGTGAAATGAAGTGTCCTGGGGTCTAGTGTTAGAATAGATGAGACAACGGTGCACATATTGAACTTAATGGATCTCATTGTGGGAGGTGCACATAAGCACTGTCTGATTTCTTTTAACTTCAATTGTGCAGAATCTGTCATTAATGGCTTTCAAAAGGTTAGACATCTCTGCCTTACAATACCACAGAGCACAAACAAATGCAAGGAGAAGTTGCTATCCTGTATGTTTATTACTATGTGCAGTCCAGTTGAAATGATTTACATTTTTAAGGTTGTAAAAAGCTGTAAGCTTAAGGTCAGTACAATGGTGGATAGACACAAGAGTGAAGACTCTCCCATTCACAAAGCAACAATCTTCATATATTACCTGGTGAAAATGGTTTATATGGTCATTCAGATGCACAGCCACTCACAGTATGCTGGGTCATGTCAGGGGAATACATTTGCAACACACCTGGAGCCTGGTAAATGCTTTGGAGCTTAGGTGCTGATCCAATCAAGCACAGAAATAACTGGGAAATGACTCATGATGAGAGGTGGATGCTTGCTGTTAATCCCAGCTTTTAAAATGTACACAGTTTGTCATCATTTTTCATTGTGGTGAATGTGCGTGTCTGGATGCTTTTGTTTCACAATTGTCTGATATTTGCCATGGATTCTCTTTTCAGCTCATATGCAGCAATCATTTGCTTTTCACTTGAAAGGATGCAATCAGACAAAAATCCCTTCCAAACCCGTTTCACTGAAAAAAAGACCTAAGCAGGAGAAGTAAATATATGAGGTAGGATAGAGAGGAATGTGTTCTGACCCTGAGACATCTGCTCTTTTAAACGTTATATTACAAATGTTTAACCACATGTGCATCTTTCACCCTTAAAAGCTCAGCTAAGGAGGAGGAGATGGGGGTGAGGGACAGAGGAAATGGGATATTAATTATGTTCCCAGATGATACTGAGCAGTGAGGTGCTGCCAAATTATAGATGAGGCTGGAGAAGAAAAGTAATATGAAAATACCAAGGTCAAAAGTATGGAAAAAGTCAGATGCATTTCAGACACTATTGTTTATCTACAGATGATGAATACTAAATGAATACTAAATACTAATCATATAGAATACTAAATGTTAAGCCAGAAAGGAATTGAATGAATTTGCAGTTTGCAATACAGCGTGGCATCATGGGTATGCACATGCTTGAGTCTGTCTTGGATCACTGCACTGTTCTCATATACAACTGAAACATATGCCCAAGTGTTTTATTAAATGGGAATACTATGTCTACTAACATGATTGAAGTGTAGCATGGATTTAAACTGGTTTCTGAATTAAGATTTTGTCGTAAAAAATAAACCATTGTCCTAATAAGCAAGAAATGCAGAGGCACTGCCTCATGAAGGGTAAAAAAGAGGTGTTGACAGGTTCTCTGTCCACAGTTTCTAAGGCCTGTGGCAAGACAATTGTTTTTATTTTAAGTTCTGAATGAACAGAAACAGTACTGAAGCGGAAATGGAAACAATAAATGACATTTAAGTTGGAAAATCTGGCCTAGCTCTCCCAAGTTATCACCTTCAACATTTTTCTGTGGCTTTAGTTTGCAATAGTGAGTGCTACGCTACTCCCTGTGTGGATAAACTTGAGACAACAATCTTCATCTGGCAAAGTAATGGCTGTGTGAAACTGTCCTGGAACACAAGCAGGTTTTGGTGCCATCTTTCAGTTAAAATAGGTGTTAGAGATGACAGTCTCCATCTTAAACAAAGACAACCTTGTTAAATATCTAAATTTTCTGCAGGGCATTGGATTGGTCAGTGCTGTACTGGGTGCTGTGTGCACACTGTGTGCCGAGCTCTCACAAAGAGCTAAGGTGAGTGTGCAGAAACAGATGAGGAAGGAACTTCTCCACCACTTGTCCAAGCCCTGGTGTGTGGTACTGACGGAAGCTTTGGGGCTGAGTATTAGGATATGATTAACAGTGCTGAGGTGGCTTCCTGTATTCCAGGAAGCAGAACTTTGTGCTATCATGTAAAGAAATAGAGTTTCACAAAAGGTATTTGCCCAGTAGATCTATTAAAGCACAGCCAAAGCCCTGCTGGGGTGCAAGCAGTGGCATGACTGCGACCAGCCTTGCTGAAGGGGGACAAGGGCAGGCCAGGAGCAACAACTCTGAAAAGCAGTTGAGACACAGATGAAGAGCCATACCATACAGACTAAGGTAGCAGGAATTCAGGGAAAGTTATGTGTATAAAGCCCTCTGTGCATTCATGGTTGTTTTTCTGACAAATGCCCCAGCACCGCAGTGCGTTCTGCAGTGGAGACACACAAAGCACCTCCCTCCACTGTCACCACTACTCCCGGACTGGAACAGCCATCACATGCAGCCATGCTGAGTCCAAATTCTTGTGCAAATCCAAAAATATGTAAAAAAGCTTCTATTGCAGCACAAATGTACAAATATTAACTAAGCAGTCATCATAAGGTTCCTGTGAGACAAGCTAGCAGATTGATTATTCTAGTTTTCCAAGACACAGGCCTGAGGTGAAGGCACTTACCAGGGACACATAATAAGTTGGTACATACACAGACGGTGTGCCCAGGTGGCCAAAAAGGCAAACAGCATCCTGGCCACTGGCACCAGAAATAGTGCAGCCAGCAGGACTAGGGAAGTGATCACCCCTTTAGCTGGCATTGGTGAGGCCACATCCTGAATCCTGTGTTCAGTTTTGGGCCCCTCACTACAAGAAGGGCATCACAGTGCTGGAGTGTGTCCAGAGAAGGGCAACAAGGCTGGTGAAGGGCCCAAGTGGGGCACAAGTCCTATCGGGGCAGCTGAGGGTGCTGGGGGTGTTTAGTCTGGAGAAAAAGAGGTGCAGAGGAGACCTTATCACCCTGTACAACTGCCTGAGAGGAGGCTGTAACCAGGCGAGGGTTGGTCTCTTCTCCCAGGTAACAGGTTGAGAAAATATATTTCTTCATTGAAATGGTAGTCAGGCATTGGAAGAAACTGCCTAGGGAAATGGTGGAATTGCTATTTCTGGAAGGGTTTGAAATGTGTGTGGATGGGGCATTTGGGGATATGGTTTAGTGGTGAATGCAGTGATGCTGGGTTAAAGGTTGGACTCAATTATCTTAAAAGACTTTTCCAACCCTAATAATTCTATGATTTAGGGATGGAATCTCCTGAAATTTCAGCTTGCCTTTTAAAATCAGGTGTTTGATTAATTTCCAGATACCTTTCCTTTAAGGAAGTAAATTTCCCACTTTGTGCCTGTATGAATTTGGACAATCAGAGATAACAATTAGTGGTACAGATCTCTTAAAATAAAAATGTTGTTTTTCTGCAGGGTGAGAGACGACAGCAAACTCATACCATCACCTTAGATGAATCACTTGCGATGCTTCCCAGACTTTCCCACCCTGCCTGCCCCCCTCCGGGACAGGCGGCGGCGGGGACCCGGTGGGGGAAATTTGACCAAAACCTGCCCCCATCCCTTCTCCCTTTACGGCAGCACTATCCCTTTAAAAGGCGGCCGGCGGGAGGACGGGCAGGCGGGAGGTGGCGGTGACGGTCGGGCCATCGCCTGCCCGCCGGGTTTTCCCCCCCCTTCCTGACGGTCCGTCGTTCGCAGCCGCCCGGTAAAAAGAGGAGGCAAAATGGCCGAGCTGGGCAGCAAGGGGGTCACGGCCGGGAAAATCGCCAGCAACGTCCAGAAGAAGCTGACCCGGGCGCAGGAGAAGGTTGGGAAGAAGGGGGGGCATCCCCGGGATGCGGGGTTGGTGGGGGGTGCGGGTACCGGGGATGACACCGCTCCCCGAAGCAGGGATGCGTCTCGCAGTGGGTGCTGGCGGGGGGCTGGCAGCTGCCTTCACTGCCTGCGGAATTAGGGTCCCTTTGCATCCCGAGAGTGCAGAATATCCCTATTGCGAGCGGTAAGCGCTTACCGTACGCCTGCAGAAACATGGCATCGGATTCAGCCGGGAGCGGGGAGGGAGGACGGAGCGCCGCGCGTTTGTGTTGGATCTGTAGATGCTTATTGTTTCAGCAAGGAGGAGACCTTCTCTTTGTGGTATTTAGGTTGTGCTTTATGCAGCATTTTCACGAGCGGTTCTGTGTTTTACCGTAGCGCTAAACGCGTAACCTCAAAAGATGGTGAGGGAAAGGAGATGGGCACTGCTGCTTATCTTCTAACAGCAAAGCATAATAGTCGCTACTTAATGTACTGACCTTGAGCTCCTGATTTTGGAGTGGTGGTAAAGGCAAAGCCTTACGGCCTTTAAAGACTGTGCCGATGTCTGCTGAGAGGGGGGGAGATTTTTGAATCCCGGGGGCCCTTTCGCTGCTCTCCACCCATCCCTGTGCCAGCAAAAGGTGCCAGGAATATGCAATGGATACTTTTCATGTTCATTTCTCTGGCATGCTGCATCTGATGCCAGATGTCTGCTCTCTGTAGGGATTATCGGACATTTTACGCAGGGACATTGATCAGCTGCTTTTATCGCAGGCACGCTCGTCTTGTTTTTCAGTGGTTTGCTGTGAGATGACATTGACTGAATAAGGACTGGTGCATCTTTGAGGGAGGGAGGGAGGGAGAACAGATCTGCCCACTGCTGCTCTTGTTCCCCGGGAGTTATCTTTAGCAGCTAGATTAAATCTGGAAGGTTTGGGGCTAGGTGCAGTGCTGGCCTGAGCCTTGTATCTAGTCTCTGACACTTAAAAAAACGCTGCTGGGTTAGAATGGCAGTCCAGACCAGTTGGGCCTAATGTTGTAAATGCTGTATCCACTAGTTTTAGCTCACTTACCAAGACTAGAAGCATTATTTGAACTTGCCTGACTTCTTGGAAAACACCCCAAATGACTATCCAGTATGGAACTGTAGCAGCAAGGTCCTGGCTTCACTCTGTACATAAGAGTGATTGTGACCACATCTGTGGTTTTTTTTACCTTGCTGTGGTACCAGAGGGAACAGGACAGGGACTCTGTCTCCTGATACCTGGCCCACCCTGAACTCATCGCAGATGCTAACTTCATTCTGTGTTAGCCACCAGATGGCAACCATATTTGTAATTAATATTAAGGTAGGTAGTAAAGGCTGAGCTCCTTGGCCTGCTGATGAAGTTATTGTACTTACTGGTGCAGCTTGGAGCCAAGTGTTGCCTGCCAAGCCCTTCCCTGGCTTCTTATCTGGAGGCACACAGGTTCTTTTCCTAAGGATAATTTTCCACAAATTTCTCTCAACTGGGGATCTAGCTCACTTCCTCACTTTCCTCATTTACACCCTGGTGGCGACTGGGGATGCGAGAATGAGCACAACAGTAATAATCGAGTGTTTATCTGTGTATGGCAGGTGATTTCCAGGATCTGAAAACGGTTGTTTGTCGCTTTACACAGAAGAAAGCACAGCTTGTTTTCCTTTAAGGAGAAAAGGAAAAACCCACAACACTTGCTTAATAAGCTAACACAAATTCTAGGCCCTTCAGCTGTTGTTATCCTAATGCAAACAGAACAACTTTTCTCTCTGGGCTCTCAAAAAGAAAAGATGGTATTGCTTGCCTCATCGTCTGACTTGCCCCCTTATACTGCTACAGTATCATCTGTAACAATTCTTCCTTGGTGAAATGTTGGAGTTTTACCCATGTCTCTTAGGGACAGACTTTGACTGAAGAGAATAAGTGAACGTTAACTTTCAGGTGGTAAGGAAAGATACAGCTGAATATGATGTGATGTGGAAGGCATCAGTGGTTATGACACTGTACTGGTAATACTCTTGTGGTATTTAGTTTTTAACTGTGGTACTGTGTTTAGCAGGAAGGGTAAACCAAGTGTCAGGAGATAAGGACCAGGTGTTAAATAATAAGACAGAAGGTAAGCAGAAGTGTGCAGAGGTAGATCTGGGTACACAGCTTCAAAATGTATTAATTTTTTATGAAGGGATGCTGACTGGGTTGAACTTTTCCTTTTTTGAGGCTTAAACAAGCTGACAGTGTTCCCTTTACATATCTTATTTTTATTTGAATCTAGGATAAAAGTTCTTCCCTTTTGAATGATATCTCCCTCTCAACTTGAGCCCTGAGGCTTTGACCTCAGCAATTTCCTTCGTGGTGAATTTAAGCCTTGTATTAAGCAAAGAATGATGTCTTTTTGTTCAATGCAGAATTCACACTGAAACACTGTACACATCCTTTTTTCCCTTCTGAGATGGCTATTATGTAAACTATGTAAGATATTCCTTCAGAAGTGCTGTTTGTTTTGAGTCTTTCAGCAAAACTATTGGCTATTTTTGGAAGACACTTTAGCAATTCCACAGGAAATAATGGGGCAGGATGGTTGTGCTATTTGCAAATGGTCTGGGCACTCATTTAATCTTTGTGTCTACTCAGGGGTAGCCTCAAGTACAATACTGGGCAATAACTTGTCCGTTGTCCAGTGAAATGTATCAAATGAGTTGATGCCAGTGTCTCCAGAGGAACCCACCTGCAGAAAGGACTCACATAACCTTGCTAATTCCTATCCTATATCACCTTTAGCATCTAATTAGGATATTTAGGCTGGAAGTTGTGTTCTGTTCTATTAGCTGAAGGATTTTCTGAGATGTTGAGCTCTGGACCTTTCCTAATTCTAAACTTCCTAAAACAGAGTAAAATTTTAATGCCTCCGCTATCACAGTGTCTTAGAGGGAGCCTTGTGTTTGCAAGCTCTTTTAAACTTTGCTACTGAGGTTTATTCTTTATGTCTGTGATCCATCATCATGGTTAAATTTTGTGTTTCTGCTTTGTGACCAGTTTTTATCTTACACTTTTCAAATTTTAAAAATCTCCCTGATTTCCACAATTCTCATTTTCCTCTATGAGTGTCCTGTTTCTTGATGTGTCAGTCTACACATGCACATTTCTGCTTTGGACAAATTCAAACAGCATTTTGGTGACTTCACACGATCCTGGTGTGAGGGTAACTCCTCTGCGGGTTCCAGGAGGACCTCGGAGAGCAAAGGAATTGGGGTTTAGTAACTTTGACTGGTGGTGAAGGTCCTCCTCACAGGATCAAGCTCTTTCCTTCAGCACATAAGGCAGAGGTTCAGACTGGAAAGATTGTGTTGGCTGTATGTAAAGTTGACATTGGAAAGAAAGTTTTCAGGTTTTTTGTTTGTTTGTTTTCAGAGGGTTTGATTGTTTGTTTGTTTTGGGTTTCTTTGTTTTGGTTTTGGGGTTTTGTTTGGTTTGGTTTGGGTTTTTTTGCCTTGGGAGGATTTTTGTGTGGAAAGGAGTAGAAAGGGATGAACTTATTTTTATTTAGACTGAGCATGGGAAGTTTCTTGCTTATGGTAGTGGTGGTCTTTCACTTTTTGTTATATAGCTGGGCCAAATGAGGAGTCTGTTCTGTGGCATGAATAGATTGACCTATTTTGTCATGGGTTTACTCTTTTTTACATGTTTTCAAAAAAAACAAGGCAACCCTTTTTTCTCTCCATCCCTAACTGAAGGAGAAGGCTTTGTTTTCCAGGACGTGGCAAAGTTTAGTTTGGACATCCAAACTCCCTTGTGTTAGGGTGTCACATTTAGGTTGTAGACTCTGCCACCGAATTGCTGTGTTGCCATGAGATGTCGCTTCCGCTTTCAGTTCTTGGTTTACTTTATCCCACTGATATTTACCCACATCTGTGTTTCAGGCTTTCCTGGTTAAACCATCTGCCTGAGCAAAGTTCCTCTCTCCTCTGGCTGCACTGTCTGAGGAGGCTGGGCTCTGTAGTCCTGGTATCATGGATTGTGGTTTGGGTGGAACAGGGTTTGCTTGGTTTGCGTTTTGAGTTTGCCCTGATAAGACTTTTTTTCTCCTTCTAAGACAAGTTCCAATAGGTGGAGCATGGCAGGAGAGAATACCTGGAATGAAATCTCAGCCCTGTGGAAGCAGGTGGGAGTCTATGCTAATGAGAAGCACCCAAGAACCTTAAACCAAGTTTAAATACAGCTGTCTTCAGGCTATCAGAGGCTGCCTGATCTGTGGAAATTGCAGATGGGGAGAGAGGATTGTATATAAAAATGGTAGATGCAGAAAGCTCTATTATTGAGAAGTATCACATCTACCTACTTGGGAGAAGAGAACTTCCTTACTGGTTTTCCTTCAGCATCCTTCCATCTTTTCAAAGCTTCTGTGTTTTTTGCTTGTCTTTGCCAACAAATCATCCTACCCTGTGCAATTGGCCTTGCTGTGACAATGAAGTACAAATAGCCTGAAGGGCTACAAGAATTGTTCTTTTACTGATCTGGCATGAAACTTTTTGTGTTTTTCCTGAGGTATTCCCCAGATGACAAGAAAAGGGCTTTTTACTTTATTTTTGTTAGCTTGCTTTCTCAAGAATGCAGGGCTTAGGTGGTGGGTGGAGTCTTAAAGGTACTTTGTGCCTACGGGTTGCTGGAAAACGGGCACTGGATAGAGGAGAGAGGTCTGAACTAATGCCCCTAATGTACAGATGATTCCAGTATGAGCTCAGACTGTATTACTGGTATCAGATAATCTGCATGGGGCAGGGAGGAGGTGAAATAGGAAACCAGGCTCCACATGTTTCCTTGCCCATGGAATGGTTTGATTGGCAGGGCGCTTACAGTGCCCTGCTGAAGGTGCCCCTCTGTCTGGCTGTTGTTAACAAATTTCTTTTAAGAAGCAGAAATCTCATGGATGGATGAATTTTCTGTTTGGAAAAGGCCCAGCCCTATTCCTCGTCACTTTATGTTCCGTGTAAGT